CACTAGATGGCCGGCTATATGATTTTTCGCATTTTTATAAAAATCGGATTAAACCGAACCGAACCGCCGGTTTTTCGGTTCGGTTCTTACGGATTTCGGCTCTAATCCGAACCGTCTATAATCCGGACCAAACCGACCCGTTCGGAGCTTTAGATAAAGCTCTATTTTCAGTGAAATGACTAGATATAAGTCAAAGAAATCAAGTTTTCTTTGTTGAAGTAGATGTGCCTTGGCAAGAGTTAGGTGAAGAAAGTTTAGAGATACATTACCTTAAGTGTGTATTATTTTACAGCCATATGACTCCTTAGGGATGATTAGTATTGCAGGGTTCACGAACGGCTGTAGTAGTGTGGTTTGCATCCAAGAGAAAGTTGTTTATATTGAATCATATGGGTGTTTGACCGGAATCATCATGTCTCTTGCGTTAGGTGTTTGTTGATGATAAAGATCATATACTAATGGTTGCAGACACTAATGATTTTAATTTAGGCGATGCATATAGTGATAGTTGATTAGACCAACATCCTACCAGACCAGAATGATGAAGTATTTTTTGATGATGATGATCTCTCTAAAACTCCAATTGAGCTGACTTGGCTTAACCCTTGGTGTTGAGCTTGGCTTTTTCCAAGCTAGTGTTGAGCTATGCCAAGCTGATGAGCCAAGTAAAGCTTAGCTTGAGCCAAGCCAAGCTTACTCAAAAAAAAAAAATTAAGCTTGTTTTTTTTAATAGAAACGACTTTATAAATTTTTTTTTTTTAATTGAAATTTTTGTTTATTAAAAAAAAGTCGATTTAATTTTTCGAGCCAAGCCAGCTTGTGTTGGCTCGGCCTGAAAAAATTAATACAGTACCTCATTATATTTAATAAAAAAGTTCTTAAGATTTTTAATAGAAAAAAAGCAATTGGAATCTGTTTATAATAAAAAAAAAAATTTTTTTTAGTATAAATCCATTTTTTTTAACGAAAAAACAGATCGTCCGGATAATCTAATGGACTTATCTATTCATTATATACCCAGCCGATCAATACTTTCCTTTTTAAATTTTAATATTTTTTTTTATGACGATTGTTGACTTTTTTTTCTTCAATAAAAAAAATACGGATCGGCCAGACAATTTAATGGATCTATCATAAATAAAAAATAGTTATACATAGCTTGTGAGCTGGCTCATTAGCTTGATGTATTGCGAGCTGCGGCTTGAGCTCGGCTCGTACGGAACTTTAATAGAGGCTGCGCTTATGGTAAGAGAATAAATAGTAAAGGTAAGATAATTAAAGAATAAAAATTTAAACCCTCTTTCGAGTATACTGTGCATTTATTAGGTCTTATAGCTGTATATTCAGCAATATGGACAGATGGTCCATTATTTAAGAAGTATAAAATTATTGATATGTAGTTGTGTAATACATCACTGATCATCCTATATACTAGGTTTCGTCTTATTTATTTATTTATTTGTTTTTTTAAAAAAAAATATTATCAATAAAATTATTATTTTTAATAAAAGAAATAAAAGAAACCTTATTTTTCAATAAAATTGCTATGTTTTCTAATAAAAAAAAAAAAAAGTTTCATTCATAAATGAATTATTTAGTAGAATCAATTACTGTAGCCAATCGGATATCATTTTTTATAACTTATATAACTTACTAGGAATGGAAGTACTAAGGTTTTATTATTGTACAACATCACGTACCGGACGGACATCCGAACATTTGTATCACCTTTGCGTAGAACTTTATATCCTTCGAATTAATCAGTTAGTATTAAACAACGAATTTTTAATAACGATTTATATTCTTTTGTTAATGATTATGAAGCTGCTAATATTACACAATATCTGGTCATTTTGACTAATTTCAATTTAAAAGATTGATCCTAATAACAAAAATGAAATGAAGAAAAAAAGAAAATTAATTACTATTAATATTCTAATCTTGAATAATAAATTAATAAATGAAAAAGGGCAAGAATTTTCTTAAATATCTAAATACTTAGAGCGGATGCGTCTCGAAAAAAATAATAATCCTTATCGGCTACGGCAGTACGGCTAAATGTAACCTTATTGTGCTGCGGTTGTGTAAGTTTCACCACATGTTCATGCCAATAATGCAGTAGATTCTCAAACTTTACTTTTGTAACCATTGTAACCATTCAAGACAATACAAATAATAATGACCGTTTTTTATTTTTACTAAGAAATGGTATGCCACAAAAAAAGATTTCTTGTCCTGTGTCACTTATTTTGACAAGTGGATCAACTTGTAAATGATCGTAAATAATAAAGGATTTCCAAAAATAACTCTTCATTTATCCATTTTTACATTCACTTATCTCAATATAATAATAATAAGCTCGTTTTAGAAATTACCAAATGTGCAATTCAAGAAAGATACTGCGACCATCTAAGAAAACGTCAATTTCCGTCATGTTTTCGGTTAATTTATTTTACCGGATTATGGTACACAAAGTTTGTTTATCTACTGCATCTCGTAAAATTACAATTATCTTAAATGTAACAAATAATCTTATATTTTTAGTTAATCGATTTCATTTAAAATTCGTATATATATAGAGCTAATTTATTAAGCTTTTTTTTTATCGAATAATTATCGTTAAAAAATTATTCGGTTAATTTTATGATAAAATATTTATTTAAAAAGTAATTTATAAGTTAATTAATTATTTAAGATTTTAAGCTAGTCAATCGTAAATATGTCATCAAAAGAACAAGAAAACGATACGGAAAAAATTATCAATACTACTCCTACTACTTTATATGAAGAAGAAATAGATTTTTCGATAGTTGACGCTCTTCCTCCACAACATACTTCCAAACCTGAACAAGATAACGATGAAGTGGAAGATCAATATGACAAAGTCGACGAAAAATCCTCTTCAAAAATTAAAAAATCGAAAAAGAAAAAGGACAAAAAATCATCAACTGAAAGTAATACCATACCGATGAGCCAGTTGTTTAGATTTGCTACCCCTCTAGATAAATTTTATATGATAGTAGGTGCCATAGCAGCAATTGCTAATGGTGTTTCTGTACCATTTATGACCATTATATTTTCAGGATTTATTGATATTTTTGGAAGATTTTCGTTGGCTATATCAACTCATAATTCTACTGGTGATGAAGAAAAATTTGATGAAGCTAAAAGAGCATTAGATACCAATATTCGTACATACGTTATTTATTTTGTAATATTAGGAGCTGCTATGTTCTTAGCTAGTTATATTCAAATGACTCTTTGGACTATTGCCGGTGAAAATCAAGCTAAAGTAAGTACAAATTTCTGTGCAAAATTATGTATATATTATTTTAAATTTAATCTTATTCCTTCTCTTCTTCTTATCATTAAAGAGGGTTCGCAAATTATATTATTCATCGATATTGAAACAAGAAATAGCTTATTTTGACAACATGTCAACAGGTGATATAACTACACGTATATCAAGTGATACAAATTTATATCAAGAAGGAATTTCTGATAAAATTGGTTTGATTATACAAAACTTCGCTACGTTACTTGGTGGCTTTATTATCGCTTTCATTAAAGGTAAATATAAAAACCTTCTATCGTAAAATTTCTTAAAAATTGGTTTTCTAATATTTTATACCTATTAAATAGCTTGGAAATTATCACTCGTATTATGTTCTATATTTCCTTTGTTGATGATTGCTGGAGCTTTCATGTCAAAAGCTGTCGGTGGTGGATCTGCAGAAGGACAAGGTAAAATACTTATTCACTTAGTACTTATCAATTTCTATCCCTTCCTCAATTCTAATTCATTATTTTTTTTCTTTTTAAAAAAAAAATAATGATAATAATAGATGCTTACGCAGCCGCAGGAGGAATTGTGGAACAAGTCTTATCCAATATTCGCACGGTTTTAGCATTTGGAGGTCAATCACGTGAATTGGCTAGATACGCAACACAATTAGAATTAGCATATAAAGCAGGGAGAAAGAAAGCAATAGTAAGTGGTGCAGGAATAGGTTTTATGATGATGGTATTATTTTTTTCATACGCCCTAGCATTTTGGTATGGAAGTAGATTGATTTTAAATAATGAAATATCTGGAGGAGATATTCTAAATGCTCTTTTTGCTGTTATAATCGGAGGTACGATTTTTGTTAATTAACTTGAATGTGATTTAAACTTTTTATTGGAAATTGATTTTTTTTTAATTTTTTTTTTTTTCTTTATAAATAGCTTTTTCTATTGGAAATGCATCCCCATATTTTGCCGATGTGGCTAAAGCGTTAGGCTCAGCAAAAAACCTTTTTACAGCAATAGATCGTAAATCTTTGATAGATGCAACATCTACTACCGGTAAAATATTACCCTCTTCTGGACTCGAAGGACATATAGAATTTAAAAATGTATCATTTAATTATCCAACACGTCCAGATGTGCAAGTATTAAAAAATTTTACGTTAAAAATCGAACCAAATAAAACTGTGGCATTAGTAGGTTCGAGTGGTAGCGGTAAATCAACGATAGTAGGATTATTAGAAAGATTTTATGACCCAATTGAAGGAGAAATTCTTATAGATGGAGTACCTATAAAAGAATGGAATTTAAAAACCCTAAGAGGATTTATTGGTTTAGTTGGACAAGAACCAGTATTATTTCAAGATTCTATTAAACAAAATATTGCATGGGGTAAAATTTCTGAAGATAAAGAAGTTAGTTTAGAAGAAATTATCGAAGTATGTAAAAAATCTAACGCATACGATTTCATTAATGAATTACCAAAAAAATATGATACTTTAGTAGGAGAAAAAGGTGCTTTATTATCTGGAGGACAAAAACAAAGGATTGCTATTGCAAGAGCTTTAATTAAAAATCCACCAATTTTATTATTAGATGAAGCTACATCCGCACTAGATACTGAATCTGAACGTCTTGTTCAAGATGCTTTAGATAATGCTTCATCAAATAGAACAACAATTGTTATTGCTCATAGGTTATCCACGATTAAAAATGCTGATAAAATTGTTGTAATGCATAAAGGTGAAATTAAAGAAGTCGGAAAACATGATGAATTAATTGCGAAAAAAGGTGTTTATTATGATCTTGTACAAGCCCAAGAATTAAATACCCATAAAGAAAAAGATGGTAAATATGACGATGAAGAAAAAGAGGATGATGATTCGAGTAAAGATAACGTTACAAATAATGAAGAAGTTGTTATCACTTTTGACGAAGACAATAAATCCACACAATTAAGAAAAATTATTACAAAAGATTCTACAACAAAATCAATTAAATCTTTAGAAGAAGAAATTAAAGAAAAAGAAGAAAAATATAAGCATACAAAAGCACCATTTTCAAGATTGTTTAAGTTAAATAAGCCAGAATTATTATTGATAATACTTGGAACGATAGCATCGGCTGTTAATGGTACTATATTCCCATTATTTGCTTTACTATTTGCAGCAATATTAGATACTTTTTCTAAAATTGATCGCCCTGATGAATTAAGAAGTGAAGCTAATTTTCTTTCAGGAATGTTTGCATTAATTGCAGTTGGTGTTTTTGTAGCAGAATTTTTTAAAAATACATCCTTTATGCTTAGTTCAGAAAGATTGACCAGACGTATTAGATTAATGACTTTTGGTCAATTAATAAAACAAGAAGTAGCATTTTTTGATAGTGAAGATAATGGTACTGGTATATTAACCGCTAAATTGGCTGTTGATGCAACTAAAATTGAAGGACTTACAGGATCGCTTATGGGTAATATTATCCAGACGGCAGTAACGATCTCACTTGGAGTGGGACTTGCTTTTGCGTATGGATGGAAATTAACATTGGTTGTAGTTGCAACGGCTCCAACCGTGGGAATTGCAAATTATTTCAAAATAAGATCTCTCTCTGGCTACGGTTCCAAGGTAACTTTATTAAGGCTTTTTACATAAAGTTATAATTATTTCTTTATTAACTTTTTTCCTTTCCTTATTTTATCTTAGACTCGCAAAGCATATGAAGGAACAGGACAAATAGTTCATCAAAGTGTTTCAAATATTCGTACAATACAATCTTTATCGTTGGAAACTACGTTTTTTGAGGTTTATAATAAATTAATATCAGAACCGCATAAAATGGCTATCAAAGGAACTCTCGTATCATCAGTAGGGTTTGGATTATCACAAGCGATGATGTACTTTTTCTACTCCCTCACTTTTTGGTATGGTTCACAATTAGTAAAAAGTCAAGAATACAGCGTTATTAGAATGTTCAATGTATTATTTGCAATTGCTTTCTCAGCAACATCTCTAGGTCAAATAAGGTATTTCTTTTTTTTTTCTCAGAAGAATATTTATATATTTTGTATATTTTCATTTAAATTAATATATATTTTTTTTTTTTTGTTAGTACTTTTGCACCAAATATATCAAAAGCGAAAATAGCAGCACTTTCGATATTCGAAATACTTGATAGAAAACCAAATACCTCACCACCGAATAGTATAAACGATCGTCCAACTCCAGTAACAGGGGCATCAAAATTCACAGATGTACATTTCTCTTATCCAACACGTCCGACAACACAAATATTACGAGGACTTTCAATAGACGCACTCGCTAATAAAACCACTGCATTAGTAGGTTCAAGTGGTAGTGGTAAATCAACTGTAATCTCTTTACTATTACGATATTATAATGCTAATTCTGGAAGTGTTTACATGGAAGATGTTGATATTCAACAATGGGATTTGGATTATTTAAGAGAAAATACTTCATTGGTCGGACAAGAACCCATTTTATTTGATTTAACCATTGGTGAAAATATTGCTTATGGAAAGGAAGGTGCCACTCAAGATGAAATTGAAACTGCTGCAAAACAAGCCAACATACACAATTTTATTGATGCACTTCCAGATAAATATAATACTAGAGTTGGTGAAAAGGGTACTCAATTAAGTGGTGGACAAAAACAAAGAATTGCTATTGCAAGAGCATTAATTAGAAAACCAAAATTATTATTATTGGATGAAGCTACTTCAGCATTAGATTCTGAATCCGAAAAAGTTGTACAAAATGCTCTTGATAAAGCTGCTAAAGGTAGAACTACTTTAACTATAGCTCATAGATTATCTACTATACAAAATTCTGATTTAATTTTAGTTTGTAAAAAAGGCAAAATTGTTGAATATGGTAAACATTTAGAATTGATCTCTAAAAAAGGTTTATACTTTGATTTAGTTAACAAACAAACTCTTATGAAAAAGAAAGATTAAGAATAATAATTTAAAAAAATATTTATAATCATGTATTTTTATTATGTAATAATAGGGATAAAATTTGGATTTTAATTATTTTTTTTTTGTTAAGAAATAAAAGATCGGTTATGCAATAAATTTTATTTGCCTGAAATAGTGAAATTTTTGATTTTGTCAAGAGATTTGAGCAATATTTCGTATAAAAATAAAATTATATATCCCAAATATAGCATGTCTTAAAATACTTAAATTTTACGACAGATTTGTTCATTTTCATTGAATGTAAAATGTCAAACAAAGTGTATATGATTATTTTGCGGAAATATATGGAAATAAACGAATGTTCGCCATGTGAAAATAATTAATTGTACATGTAAGAATAGTATGTATGTATGATCTTAATGATTGTTTTTACTTGTGGGCGTGTATTATACCATGAATATGCCTAGAACATCATTATTTATGAAAGTTCAATTCGAAGGAGGAAGAAAATTATTTTCCAATAAGGCATGTTCAGCCAAAAATGCCGGTCAATTAACACATCACATTATTAGAGATATACAAAACAAAAAAAATGAACGATCAATTAGACCTTTTATTGTCCTTTTATTTTACGCTGAATATAACCATTTCAAGTACAATTTGTTTTAGGTCATATACCTGGTCCGTTTCTAAAGAATTTCATGAACATGAGAGAACTATAAAAAAGTAGTAGTCTTTATTTAAAAAAAAATACCAATTTATTCTTCAACAATAGGGGCCAGGCACATATGATAACTCCAGGAAAACGGCGTTTCTCCTTAGTGCCATCCCCAGTTCCTCCGTTAATAGTTCTCTACCAAATAGAAAACAATAAAAATATAAAAAATGAAAAAAAAAACAAAATTAAGAAATAAAAAAAAACCAAACTATAAAAAAAATATTGCGGATGTTTCTGCGGCATCCGTATGGGAAGACAATTATCATAGATATGTAAGTTGCTCATTTCAGCTTACCGTAAAGAATGTTCGATCTCAGTTGCTTGAAGAGATACAGTACCTCGTTATGTATAAAAATATAAAGCTACTCGCTACAAAGAAAATGTATCGTTCCTAATCTGTGCGACGGGCCTGACTTAGCCCACAAATTATATTTTACAATAAGAGGGAGGTCAAAATGATGCCACCAGAAGTGTAAAGTCCGATGCTTTTGTTTTCCTTCGGCAGAGAATTCTAATCTTGTCTATTTCACCGTATCAATTTTGTACATCTTATAATTAATACGATGTTACAGTATATCCAAATTTCAGCTTTTAGGTTGGTGAACCAATAAATTTTGAAAAAACTATTAGAAAATTTTAAGAACAAAAAATCAAGAATCTGGAGTCGAACAGATGTAAAAATCATAATAAATATTTGCTACTATTTAAGTATGTAATCTCCTTTGGATTTATTATTTTTTTTTTTATGATTTGTTTTTTTTTTATCTTTTTAATAAAATGCTAGCAATCAGCTTCTCAACTTCTTTTGACGATGTCTAGGTTTTATATCTTCATCATTAGTTGAAGGAAGATTTAGTAAAATTCATAAAGCTATAGCCCATTTAATTGCCTTTTCGTAGTGCGAGGTATAATGGCAATCGCTCTAAAAGAGCTGAAGTCCAATAACATTAATTCTGCATAATTACAAAATATTTTTAATTTGAAGATCTAAGGAATCATATGACTAATGATATTACGATTTATTACGTGTTACTAATATTGTCTCGAATTATGAATTTTGATAGAAGAAAAACCAAGGCGGAATTATCACCTTTTAACTGCCCACATATATTAATTCCGTAATGTTATGTGTATAACCTTTATTGGAATCAAACATTGGATATGATTTTTAACCTGGGTTCAAGTGATATTATGATGACCAATTCTGGAAAATGAAAGTGAAGATAAATGAAAACTATTGCACCATAAGACTTACCATCTAATGTTAATTACAACCAATTTAATATCTATTCGAAATAATATATTTTATTTTATAAAATAAAAACATAATCATGGTTTTATAATTGATTACAAACTGGTCCATCTTAAAGATAATATTCTATAATTCCAGTGATCAAATTATAAATAAATTAAAAACTAACTTAAATAAATAAATCAAAGAATATGTAAACTATATAATATACTATTGATTTGACTGCATTTTTTGTATTTCCTCTAATAAACGTCGCAAGGAAACTTCATCAACAGGTTGAAGATTGAGTTTAATTAATAAATCTTCCTTCAATTTTGGAAATTCTTTAATGTTCAATTCACCTTTACTTATCAATTCTTTGACTTTTTCACGAGTCTTATTAACATTAGCATGATAATGCCTTTAAAAAAAAAATTGAATTAATATCTATATTTTTTTTTAAAAAAAAAAAAATGAATAAATAGATAGATTTAAATTGACATACATTACTTCGGGAAACCATGATTTCCAACGTCTTTGATTTGGTAATAGGTAAAATAACTCGATTTCAGCCAAAATCTAAGAAATAAGATTGAAACATTAGTATTTTTTTTATAATAATAAATGAACAATTATATTAATTATTAAATAAGAATGATAATAATAATACCTCTGCTTTTTGTACCAAATATGATACTCTATCATTATCCTTGTTGATTGCCATATTTAATAACTCAATAAACAGATTCATAAGGTATATAATAATTAAAAGTGAAAATAATACCACCAATATTATAAATGATGGTTCGAAATATGCAAATTCAAGAAATTCACTTAGATCACCTAAAGATAGATTAGAAAGTTAAATTATTATTTACGAAATAACAAGATCAATAAATAAATATACAGTATATATATTTTTGAACATACCTTTTATGATTTTATATATTGTAAAAATAGAGGTAAGATTTATATACTTGATTGTTTTTATATTAAGTGGTAATAAAATATAAAATGAATTTGCAAAGCCTATTGTAATAATAAGCAAAACTAATAAGAAAGTAATGAATTTTTTTCCAATTTTAATGATTATTGTAAAATATGTACTAAATGATTCAAATACCCTAAAAAATAACAGAAATTTTATATTTAAAAATAGGCATGAAAAAGTAAGTAATCGAATTATATGATCATTTCTGTCATTTATTATAAGCCAATAAATGGAAGTATAAATTGGAAGCAAATATGCAATTATACCTATAATGTTATATGTAAATGAAGTTAATACATTTTCTTAAAATATTGTATTGTAAAAAAAAAAATAATTAAAAATTATATACCAATTTTATTCCAGAAATCATAGATCCATTTAATAGGATTATAAATCATTTGACGAATTTCAAAACTAAGATGAATAAATCCCAATATGATTGAATTAATCAAAAGTTGAATTCGAATAAATCCATTATTATATAGTTGTGGAATTGTTGCAACAATAGTAAAGCATCCAAATAAAGTCATAAACATAATCCAAATTATCATATAATAATATCTTCCATATATATTCCATTTAAAGTTAATTAAAGCTTCTCCATTCCATGTTTTGTAAAAATTTTCATTTATTGCTTCAATAAATGGACTAGGTTGAGGTTTAATTAATTCTAAAAACCAATCATATTTTTGTGGGTAACTAACGAACTTAATATAAGGAATCATAAAGGTAATTGTTGGTTTTGTTGGTTTTGTTATATTGGTTGAAAATTTATAGATATGACAAGCCAATTGTTGAATAGTATTTAAAATATAATTTACTTTCTTATTATTTTGATATTCTGACCATAGAGTTAAATCAAATATTTGAAAATATTGAAAAGAATGAAGATGTAAATTATATGTTATAGTATAAAAAGGAGAATCTACAATCAAATTTGTTTCTAATAAATATTTTGAGATATACTCTGGATAATATTCATTTAACAATGGCATCATACAACTAAAAATACTTAAAAACATCCTATTGTTCCTCACATCTTCCTTAAAATAAATTATAGATTTATTATAAATCTTATCTATTAATTCTGACTTATGTTCTTTAATCGCAAATGATAATAATTCAGCACCATATTTTAAAAGATTTTCCTTATTATCTATTATGTATGAAACCCAACTATCATTTAATTTGAAACTATCATAATTTGGTAAAGGTAAAGTAGGAGTTGAGAACACTTTTTCATAATGAAATTGTAATTTTTCTGTATCATCATATTTGTCTAGATTCATATTATAAAAATAGCTTAAAAAAATAGATTTCTTAACTTCATCAAAATGATAAATAAAAATACCAAATGTTGTTAATATAAAGATATAATTATCACTTAATAGCTTTGGTGTATAACAAATATTAAATTCATCAATCCTTTTTTCACAAATTAAACTCCATTCGTTATCAACATCAATTTTTTTATAAACTTGCAATTCAGTATTTTTATAATTAATTTTTATATTCCATTTAATTAAATTTTGAGATAGTTCTATTGGTTCTTGATTTTCTTCTTTAAATTTAAATTTTTCAGTTGATATATCTTCATATTTAATATTTATATGTGAATTAAATAAGTGAATAGCTAGGCGTTCATATGTTTCATAAGATTCCTTGACAATATTATTATTATTATTAACATATTTATTCAAGTTTTCAAGAATTTCATCAGAATTTTCAAGTTTAATCTTCCAAACATATCCATTTATAACTCTGAATGCGTATTCATTTGTAATTTGAATTTGATTTGGTAAACTTTCAGTTCTGTATTCTTTTGATAATTCGTTATTCTGTTCTGAATGCTTTAAACGTTTTTCCCAATAATGTTTCATGATGGAATTCCAAATTTCACTATTATTTAATAAAGGAAGTAATAAATTACTTGAGCCAGTTAGTTTCATAAAATTATATAATTGAGTATCTAAATAATAGATAAAAACAATTATTCAATATAGTAAATCTTAATAATATAATTATAAAACTCTTTAAAAAAAAAAAGTTACCATTATTTATATCCAAAGAAGCAATAGGAATGTCTAATTCAATTGAATAAATAATAATTTTATCTTTGATTTTTAGACAAGTAAAACGTTCATTACTTGAAATATTGATCATAAGCTTGTTATACTAAAAATAAAATAATGATTAATTATATAATACACTTTTAAACAAAAAGTTATTTGGATGAATAGAGATGTCGGTCGTCACCCATCCAATAACTGAGGAGTTATAGTTCAGTCATTAAGAATATTGCGGCAATCAATAGGAATTGATGATACCAATAACGATTTCAATATTGGATGTCTCATAAAAATATCGGTCATTAAAATCCGCATATTCCTTATCGACTGAACAATTTTATTACCTTGTTATTCTCATCATTATAAAATATTCTTATACTTTTTCCAGTAAAAATATTACATTCGTAAATGGAATCATTTGAAGCAAAATAAAGTTTATCGTCTTTTGATATGCTGATAAACTGAAAATCTTTGCTTATCTCGTAAATTCTTTTACACATACATTTGCTATTTTTAATTTGTATAGAATAAATCCGATTACGAACATCATCATATAAGATAAGTTCTCCCTTTAAATTAAAATTAAAAGTGTAATAGCAAGCATCGAATTTTAAATTTAATTCAACTTCTTTATTATTACAAATATCGATTATTTCTAATAAGTATATAAAAAAAATTGAACGTTACTGTGGTGAATTAAATATATGACCATGGAATTTTATCAACCTACCTAATCTTTTTTCGAAAATATACGCAAGTTTCTTATCATCTGAAACGCATATTTGTTCTATGATTCCCTTTGAAATAATAAAATCTATTTTATAGTCCGGTTCAAGTTTTCCCTCATTTATGTCTTCAACAACATTCCAGCCAACGATTGAAAGATCAAATTGACTATAAGTAACAAGGTATTTTTCATTTGGAGATATTTCTAATTTAGTAATAGGTCCATTATGTAGTTTAGATTGTATATGTCCATATTCAATTTTATCGATTTTGATTTTTTTCGTAGTATCACTCATTTGATAGAATTTAAAAGATTTATTTGTTACAACATACGTAATTATGAATTATATATCAAATAATGGTCACACAATACCTGTGTCTTTTGTGTGGATGCATAGGAAGGCGTTATTGAAGATCTAAAATAGAAATTTATGATCTAAATAAATCGTGTAACTTGATAATCAGTAAAATTTGGTATAACAATATAACAAATGTTGAAATAGGACTGTACCGATTAAAGAAGGGCAAAGTTGTATAAAAAATTTAACGTAAATTTAGTTTGGTCCGATTGATTAACATCACAGGACTCAGCACAGTTAATGGTAGCGAAGTCCGATCAAAGTTCAAATTTCAAAATTCACATGACTGTGCTAAAAATTGACATTACCAGACTCAAAAGATCATCGGACCGTATAACCTTGTTTTAAAAGTCAACATATCAATCTTTACGGACTCAAATAATCCTCTGATAGCAAATACAAGATTCATACAAGGAGATTGCGCCCATAAACTGGCAGATATTTATGTACGTTGGTTTTCTCGAGAATGAAACTGAAAGTTCATAAAGAACATAAAGGCACCAAACTAAGATCAAGAACCTTTCTGGAGTTTTGACTTCATCTGACTTATTTTATTGAGAGTTTTAGAGGCTAAATCAGAGCTATCTAGTACTAGATTCAAAGGTTAAGGCTCTGGAAAACTATCAAAAAAAACAAGATGTGACGTAAGCGTTATTTGCCTTTTTTCAAGATTTGAAAAATAATATGTTTATTATCAGTTATAAAATATTTTTACAATGATTACAACCCGATCCATCTTGTAAAGATAATACTCTATAATTCCAGTGATCAAATTATAAATAAAATCTTTACTACTTAAAAACTAACTAATATAAATCAAAAAAAATATGTAAACTATATAATCTATTATTGCTTTGGCTGCATTTTTTGTATTTCCTCTAATAATTGTCGCAAGGAAACTTCATCAACAGGTTGAATATTAAGTTTGATTAATAAATTCTTCTTCAGTTCTGGACTTTTTCACGAGTCATATCAGCATAATAAATTAATAATATCTTAAAAAAATAAAGTAATATAAGATGTGGAATTGTTGCAACAGCAGTAAAGCATCCAAGTAATGGCATAAATTTAATCCAAATTATCATATAATAATATTTCCATATGTATTCCATTTAAAATTAATTATTGTCTCTCCGTTCCATGTTTTTTAGATATTTCCACTTATTGTTTCAACAAATGGACTAAGTTTAGGTTTAATTAATTCTAAAGGCCAATTATATTCTTGTGGATAATTAAGTATATTATTGATTTTTGAATAGTATATTGTTAAATTATAATTGTAAGTATTTTGACCTTTGAGTTAAATTAATCATTTGAAAATATTGAAAAGTATAATAATATTTGTTTCTAATGAATACCTTAAAATATACTCTGGGTAATATTCATTCAATAATGGCATCATACAATTAATACTTAATAATGTCCTATTGTTTCCCAGGTCATCCCTAAAATAAATTATACATTTATTGTAATTCTATCTATTAATTCTAACTTATGTTCTTTAATCGCAAATGATAAAATTATTCAATAAAAGATCTTGAAAAAATTGGGACGATATATTTCTTGTGTATCCAATCTTTGCAATAATTGTAAAAAGAATGCATTGGTTTTAGTATATACAACGGGCTAATTAATGGACTAATTATGAAAAATCATAAAAAATTAACAGTCATAATGAACTTGTTTTATTTTATTAATAATTTTATTCTAAATTCTCAATAAAGGATAAAATAATTTTCAACTTTACACTTGAAAAGACGTCACGTCGTGCCGAATATTTAACTAAACATATTTGAATGTATATTAGTGGAATTATAACGAAATATTATAAACTGTCAAGAAATCGGGATGAAATAGATATAAAAATCCTAAACATTAACTCTCTCGACAGCATTAATCCTAAAATAATTCGTTATTGTAACATTTTCCTTCATAATTCTCGAATATACTTGTTCGTTCGTAAAAATTCATCGGCAAAAGCCATTTTTATTTTTGAAATTTATATTATAAATTATATATTTTTTTAAATTGATAAGTAATTAGACGTCTATTTTACGATCGTTTGTTTAAATACATGTACACAGAAATATCGAGGTTTATAATTTGTATTATTTATAGTTTCAAGAAAGGGAAAAGGTAGATATTCCCTTCTTTCCTCCCATTTAAAACTAGTAATTCTCTTCTGTTACCTCGCACTTATTATTAAAAATTGAATGAGAAATTAAATAAAATCTTTATTTTTAATTCATAGTTATAAATATATTTAAAAAATCGCTAATATTTGTTGCTGACTTAGCCAAGTCCTTTAAAAAACTTGTTGTCACCTGATCACCACGTTGAGGTGCAGCAACATTGATCAGGGGGGAAACGAAAGGGAAGGGGGAAGGGATAACGAAAGGGAAAGGGGAAGAACGAAAGGGAAAGAGGAGCACGAAAGGGAAAGGGGATAACGAAAGGGAAAGGGGAGTACGAAAGGGAAAGGGGAGTACGAAAGGGAAAAGGGATAACGAAAGGGAAAAGGGATAACGAAAGGGAAAGGGGATAACGAAAGGGAAAGGGGATAACGAAAGGGAAAGGGGATAACGAAAGGGAAAGGGAGTACGAAAGGGAAAGGGGAGTACGAAAGGGAAAGGGGATAACGAAAGGGAAAGGGAATACGAAAGGGAAAGGGGATAACGAAAGGGAAAGGGGATAACGAAGGGAAAGGGGATAACGAAAGGGAAAGGGAGTACGAAAGGGAAAGGGGAGTACGAAAGGGAAAGGGGATAACGAAGGGAAAGGGGAGTACGAAAGGGAAAGGGGATAACGAAAGGGAAAGGGGAAAACGAAGGGAAAAGGGATAACGAAAGGGAAAGGGGATAACGAAAGGGAAAGAAGGGAAAGGGGATAACGAAAGGAAGGGGAAAACGAAGGAAACACAACCCACACTCCCACCTACATACCTAAAAGAAGATGTAAAAAAAGAACCGAAGAGAAGACCTAATAAAAGGAAGACCTAAAGAAAAGAGAAGTCCTATCGGGTGAAGAAACCAAAAGAGAAGGGAAGGAAGAGAAGACAGAGAGAAAGCAGACTTTTCGTTAAAATAAGGTATTGGGGACATACTGTATTTATATTATTTATGTTATATACTCACGACATTAAGATTACGTGTTGCAAGTCATGAGTAATTGTTTTTGCATGAGTAACCTAACCTTTATTCATATGATATGAGTAATATATTATATCGAGTAATATAGATTTATATTTCGAACTCAGATCTAGTGATTTATCAAAAATACGTACTTTTTATTATAATTCTGTTAACTTTAACGTTCTCAAATGTCAGCGTCTTAACGACCGCTCAATTAAATAAAATATCCGATTTGCGAGGTTGTCATGTGATTTTTCGTATTGAATTACATACGTTTGATAGACAAGAAGGGAAGATGGGGAGCGATAAAAGTGATGCTTAAATATGACAATGCATTTCGTTTGGACAAAAAATTTGGAGGGTTAAATTAATTTACTATAGAATAACTAAAGCAAAATGTAATACAATATATTAAATTTTGCAACATATGAATGGTCTTTTTAATTTAGAAGACTTTAATATATTTACTATTATGTTATTAGTTTTATTAATTTAAAAATGTTCTTTCTTTTATAATTGATTTTAATTTTTTTTTAATTTTTATAACAATAAAAAAAGATTTTTGTATAAGATTTAAAAAACCTATTAATATTCTTATTTCTATAATTAGTCCGCTATAATAAATTTTTTTCGATGATATCACAAATGACTAGCCGTCAAATCATGTGCACGTAAAGTCGTAATGACTCAGCATGATCATATGGTAATAACAGATAACTCAACTAGTAATAATCATATTTGATTATGTCACGATTTTTTATATACAAAAACTAAAATAATATAAATGAATAAAAATAAAATTTTACCTTAAAAAAATATTTTGAAATGGTAAAATTAAATAGGAAAATAATGTTTTATTTATAATATTAGTCATGACTCGTAAGTTAATGAGTATATTATGTACAATACCGCGCGTGAAAAAAAAGGTATTTATTAGATAAGTATTTATTTGCGTCTGAAGGAGGAGTGAAAGAGATGGGTGTTATCCTGTAAGTAAAATTTTTTTTTTCTTACAATATTTCACTCTTTCCTACACTTTATAACAAGTTTTTTTTTACAATATTTCACTCCACAAATTCTCTACACGTTATAACATAATAATTCTTTTTTTTTTGAAATCCCTCGTATTAATCCTTCTAATAACTATGCAACTAAGCATTACTCTCCCAGTCTCCCTCAATAATCAAGATTAGAAGACGAATGTGAAATGTTTGAATATATATTTCAAAATCATTTGTGGTAAGTTGACAAAAAAATTATTCTGCTGATGGTAGTTTTAACATTTTTCGTATTAGATATCTAATAATCTTTTATATTATTTATTTTGCAACAGAGAGGCTAAGGTATTATTTTATCATTAAAATGTTGTGAGTGTTTGAAAGGTGGGCTTAGCATGTACTTGATACAGTACTCACATATTTTGTATTTCAGATTATTTATTCAGAAGATTAAGAAGATTAAGAAGATTGCAAAGTTGACAACAAGTGGAGGTTGTAAAGAGTGGCAAACAAAAGATCTCACCATCTTTTGGCTCTGAAAATCTTTTTTATTGTTGGACTTGTAGAACCATAATGATTAGTTTTAATTAAGGTACTATTTATCTTTAAATTTCATGCTGTTTGAGAAGGCAATTCCAGACCACCATAGCATGACAAAGATGTGAGAACTATTGTTCTTTACAGGAGGAATAATTATGTACCTTTCTCACGGGTCATGTGAGGTCTTTTGTTCTGAAGGAGGAACAATTATGAACCTCCAATATTGTGATATCTTTTAATGGATTTATTTTTATTAGGAGTTTCAATATATATATATATATATATATATCAGAGAACTGGAAGCGCATCGTGGCCACAGTTACTGTGAACGTCCTTCTCTGATTTCAGAAATTCCTAATAGCACAAATAAGTTGTGTGTCTGAGTTTTGCTGCATGGATAACAGGCATCAGGGTAAGAGTACTTGGTGCAGGGTTGAAATTAGCTTTCTGTTATGGGAAAAACCTGATGAGTGTAGTGTCTAAACCTAGTAGGCATAGGCATTACCTGCAAAGAAATTTGTTCTGTTACCATGCCAAATATTCATGTTGTTTGGTTCAATAGTACTCACATATTTTGTATTTCAGATTATTTATTCAGAAGAAGATTAAGAAGATTAAGAAGATTGCAAAGTTGACAATTAATTGGTCAAAAATTAAGTGTACATTTTTATTAATGTGGTTTTTTTAAAGCTTGGTATAGACATAGATTACAAAATTGTCTCCAAATAATCTTCTGTTGATATGAGTAATAGTTTTAATAATACATCCACTCATTCTGATAATAATGTCAATGATCAAGTTTGTTCTGGAGGATTCCACACCCTTAGCCCTTAATTTACCTCAATTAAAAATTTTGGAACAAATTTCTTGAATAAATCATAAAATTATTAAATACATCACAACACAAATAATTGTACTTTTTAAAAAAATTTTCTGTTTATAATAATTATTTATTCTGTATTAAAAATAAATTAATGATTGAAATTATTTTTATAATTAAATATATTTACCGTACTATTTCCGAAATTAAACAACCTCGAGCTCGCATTATGGCGATTTTGACCAGAATTATGACTACTTTGGCCGGAATTAAGTTCAAAAAATGGTTGTTTAATTTTGGAATGGTACGGTATATTATGTAAATTTTACTGAGCACCTGGCCACCATTTTACTTGATTATTTAAGCGTGTATTTATAGCGTAATGAAGAATTTATCAATAATGATTTTTTTTCAAAATTTTACATCTTATATGCCTTTCAGGTAGCGTAACGAAAGACTGGCCATAAATTTATATAGTATTTGCGTATAATTTTCAGAAGTCATAAGAAAGATTGAATTATAAATAATTTGTTATAAAAAAAATATTATGTTAATTGAAAGAATGCCTGGAACTCATCCAAGACATACTTTGACTTTGGTGTGTAAAAATAAGTATTATCTCTAATTATCTATTATTTAATTATACTTTTATTATTAGACTGCAAAATCTTGCAAACAAACTTTCTTATGCAAAAGAATATATAAAGGTAAACAATAATTTTTATGTATTACAATAAAAAAAAACGGCCAATTTTACTTATTATTCATTTAAAAGTAGAAGGATACACGGCATTGCCTAAAAAGAATTTGGCTCCAAATATTACATTAAACAAAATATATAATACGTACGACTTGTTAATTCAACATGAAGTTTTGTATAGAATATTGCTTTCAAATAAAGTATGATTGAAATTCTTAGTACTTTCTTTATTTAAAGAAGAAATATTCTCCTGTTACATCAGAAAAAACCACTTTTATATACTTTTGGATGATATTGGCCTCACTCCTCCTCAAGTACCTAGTAAGGATAGGACACCCATAAGAGGTATCATTATTGTATTCGTCGCCCAATGATTATGGAAAGACGATTCACTATAATAAGACGCATCAAATGGTGGTATTTTCATGGCTTTAGACTCGATACATAATGAGATATTCTCAATGTCAACTAAAAAAATACAAATAACCTTTCATATATTGAAGCTAGAGACATACCGTTCGATGCGTCTCATTAATATGAATCCAATGAGCTTTGGTTCATTCTTCTATGATTAATAGACGATGTAGTACCTCAGTATTTTTGTAGAAAAAATTAATTTTCCAATATAAAATACGTATTGAAAACTCTTGATAGGATGGATAATTTTGAGGATTCAAAAAAAAAAAAAAATTCTGCAATAAAAATATTAAAAATTCGTGTAAAAACATTTCTTTTTCAATAAGAAAAATCACACGACAACCTCACAAATCGGATTTTGTCATAAATAATCGAGCACTCAATCTCTAGATACTGACCAATTGTAATTAATTATATGTGTAATTCTTTTGATTCTTTTGGTTCAAAAAAACACCATAATAAAAATTGTAATATGAATCGACACAAAAGCTTAATTAAATTTAAACACGCGATTCATTAAATTTTGTAATATATATGTACAATTTTTTATTTGAATAATTTCTTTGAATACAATTGGTTGAATCTTTACGAGTATTAATTCTCCTTTTGATTGATAATTCCAGATAATTCCTCGATATGTGGTTTCATTTTCTTTTATTTGAAATTTTATACCAGAAATATAATAAGTATTTGTAGTTTAAAAACTAAAATATTCATGATTTTGATAAGTAAAAAAAAAAATCATTACCCTTTTTAACGTTTGCCAAATGATAAAAAACTAACTTTAAAGTTTATGGAAGAACCGAGAGTAAGTGAGAATGAGAGATCAAGAAATAAGAAAGCGATATTGCGATAAAAACCAAAAATTAGAGAGACAAAAAAGATCAAAGTAGAATACAGTCCAAACAGAGTGTTTCTGAATCAGTACTGGAACCAATTTTAATCTAACGGATTTTGAAATTAGAACACTGTTCCAACAATTTTAAAAATCGAGAACCGCTCAAATTTGATACAACGTTCTAGTTTTTAATTTTTCTTGGTAGAACGAAGCAGAATGCGAAACAGAACCTATCCATTCCTAAAAATAAGAGAAAAACATTAAAAAACAAAGAAAATCCAAAGAAAGTAAAGTGTCTTTTAAGTTTCCTTGAATGTTCTCATCCAGAATCAGCAAACTTAATAATAAATGTAATTCAAAGAAATTTATATAGACACATAATGACATAATTCACTTGAATGTGATATCTTCATAGTGAAAATCGCAATAATCCTACATTCTTGAAACTTTTTTCTATGTATAAATAACCATAATTGTTTAGTAGTATCGGACAGTAGATCCGCAAATAATGTAACAAAACAGGCAAGACAATGAGAATAATAGTAAATTCAGCCCTTTGAAAGTCATTTAAATTTAGAAATCCTCGTTCAAAATCATCTCAAGATTCGATTATAAAAGCCGTGTCACTGTTAACGTAAATGAATTAATGCACCGAATTTCGTTTTTTGTACATTGATTCATTTTCGTATCTCTACATTCCTAATAGGAAATGATAAAAATTATTATATATTAAATAAGAGTGTAGAGCCACAAAAAATATCGGCAATTCTAATATTACCTTTCTGCATTGATGATATGAATATTGTCCAAAAATAACAATGAAAGTCCCGAAGTTGTTTCATTGAACGACCAGAAAAAAATTTTATCTTAATTACGTAGTGTCTCGTTAGTTTCTAATACTTTCATCAGCATTTCTTTGTCCAACAGTTGGTTTCTTTGTTTAAAATTAAATATTAGTAGGGATGTTATGAAAAAAAAAATCAAGATTGAAATCAATTGGCATTTGTATTTTTACATTTGATTCTCATGTATTACTCGTATATGTATACTGATTTCTCCAAATATAACAAAATAATCCCTTATCTCACGCCACAAAACTTCTTGAATAAAACAAGTGAACGTGAAAGTGACGTCTCATCCATACCTACTTTGATTTCCCATACTCTGCAATTGATAAAAATACAATTTTTTCTTTTTTTCTAAAAAGGCCACCCATAAATCTTCTTGCATTTCATTGTACAATGATAAAATTATTAAATTACTTGTATTAGGTCATGAAACTAATAACAATTCTCGTATTGGCGCTCTTTGTAGTAAAAATGTAATTGTTATCCGATAGCTCATCTATTTTCTATTTTAATAAAAAAAAAAGAGGATTTATTGTTCTTTCAACTTTTTAGTATATAATAACATATATTAAACATATTAATTATTTTATCTTTTATAGAAAAGTTACACACGATAAGCGTAATTATATTACAGTAATAAATATGTATTCATTAAATAGAATGAGTTATACTTTAATTTTTTATAAATATAGAATTTTGTATGATATTAATAATATCAAAGGCTTTGTTTCATTTTACTTGATATAATACTAAATCTGGGTTATCGGTTATCTAATGAGTTATAAAAACGGATAAACGCGAAGCTTAAAAAGAAGTTATATCAAACACGTGACAATGTTCTAGAATTGTTTTTTTCAGAAAAATTCTGGTTTTTAACTTACAATGACTACATGTACGTAATTGTGAATAATTATTATTTTTAGATTAAGGAGCTTTTTTTTTCTTTCTTATTGTTTGATGTTACGCGTCGTTCATTTAACCAGATTTTAACTGCCAACTGCCAAGTTTGACGTTCAGGTAAATATTTACCTGCTTTCGTATTTATTGATATAATAAATAAATATAGAATTAAAAATCCCTGAATAATAAATAATAAAAACAAATTGTTAGGCTTTCACTAATCTACCATTTTAAAAGTATCCCTGAAATACAAATAACTACTAAATCCAAAATCATTATTTTGCCAATAAGGAGATCCTGTATCTATACCTGTTTTTTCAAGTTTTGTCGATCTATGTTTAGTTCTCATGATCTTTTTCGAAATGTCCATATTTAATTTGTAATTCATTCTCCTCTGAATGAAATTCCTTATTGAGGTTTTGTGTACTGTAATTTGTGATATAGAGTGACTTCTTAGTCATCACATTAATTAGCCCATCTTAATCATAAAATTCATCTTTATTGACTCCCTTTTTTTTAAAAAAGAATCTTTACTTCTCTCTTATTAATTATGTCGACGCATAATTTTTCGACAGAAGATTTAGCAAAGTCATTACTTGATAAATTGGATAGAAGTAATATCTTCCCGCCATTATTGAATAATCCAGAAACTTTTATTTCTACTCTAAGTAATTTATCATTACTTCGACCAAGAAGACCCCCTAATGCTTTTTTACTTTGTCGAAAAAATGTCCAAGAGGAAGCAAAACGTAAAGGAAATTGTAACATGCGAGTAATAAGTAAAGTTACTGGAGTTTTATGGAAAGATGCTTCTCCAGATGAGAAAAAAGTTTATGAAAAATTGGCCAATCGGGTTCATGAAATTCATTATAAAAAAATTAGTAAAAATACTAAATCAACGACAAGGTCGCCATATTTATCACAAAATAAAGAAATTACCACTTCTAATCCCTATCCTGTTCCTGCCTCATTTTCAACTTCTTATTCTCCTATTACTTTTGGTCAAGGTAATGATATTTTACTCTTAAATAATAATAACGGTAATAAATATAATTATAATAATTATTATTCTAAATATTGATCCTAATTATGATAAAATCTTTTTAAATTGTGAAATATAATTTAATATATAATTTTTATATATTTCAATTTTTTTACTCAATTTTTAAGACATCCAATAAGTTAAAAGAAATACGATATTAAAAATTTATGATTTATATGCTTTAAATATATGACATTATATCAAATTAAATTTTCTGTTGTTATTTTATTATTATTAAATATCATTATCATTAGTAAATAAATTATAGGGCATTCATTATTATCATCATTCCTATTATTATCATTATTCATTTGTAGTTAACTATAAGGTTAACTATAGATTAACGTTCTGTATTTCCAGACATCCATCCTTATTATGATTTTGATTACAAGAAAGTTTAGAATTGAACTTTCAAATTTAGTTTTTTTTTTTTTGTACCTTTTTTTTTTAATTAAGAGGCGTGATCAATTTTAATTATTTGAATAAATGAATAAAAGTTTAGCTGCTTTATCAGATATTTACTTTTCGTTGTTTATAAAATGGCAATTTTTCACAAATGAATTTGAATTTAAATATTATTATAAATCATATTGACATTTTATGAATCTCCAGTTTTATAATTAAAGGAATTATAAATACACTTTGTACTATTTGTTTTTCTTTAATCACTTTAGTCCTTTGACAATTTAAATAACGAAAATGCATAATATGTTGTACGTATACTTTATAACCCGGTTTGTGTTATAAAAAAAAGGATAGGTTGTTGTAGAGTCCATACCTCTTTTTTTTTTAGCCTCGAATCTCGGTGATAATACATTAGGTGAATGATTGACTGAAATAAGCCACATTTGTGGCTCATTCAGCAAATCAAATTCATTCGTAATAAGAAAACCTTTATATTTAAAATCATTTGAAATAAATATTGAATTTCAGTTACACACTCAATATTTAATTGTGACTTATTGATGTGATATCTATCCACGTCGTTCAGATTTCTGGTGTAAATTAATGTAACACATCTGAGCAAAGCGCGGTTTATAATATTATTATTCCAAATTTGTTTAGTTAAACTTATTCCTCAGATCATGAACGAAAATCATCAAAATTAATAAAAATTTTTTATATTATCTGTAAACCATTCCCAGTTACCAGCCACTACGATACAATTTAATTTGTTTGTGTAAGTCTTTTATTGGTATCATTCAGTATCATTAGGTTTACAAAACCGGGTCAATTCACTTGATAAGATTGATTTAATATAAAATGGTGATTCAAGTTAGTGAAAGTGCCTAATCTTGTCTTGAGCGGATAATATGATGTAAACAGGGTTGTGAAAGCTAAATAAGCAGAGTAGACATGGTATTTATATGGTATCATTTATGTGCAAGTTTGGGGGCCTATAAAAAAGGAACGCTCAGAAACATATGTAACGGTGAAAATAATGACGGTCAGTTTTTTTTAATATAACTCATAAACTTTATAATAAAATTACTAGAATTTTTTTTATTTTCGAAGAGGAGTCAAAAGTACATATATTTTAATATATAATGAATATTTGGTTTGGCCTCCATCTGTATCAACACAGATTTTGTCATGCTATTATTGCTAATAACTTAACTATTAGTAACTATGCTATTTTCAAAATTATTTCATTCCTTCCTAAATTGAGAAATAGCTCATAAATTTTTTTTTCTTCTTTTTTTACTACTATTTTCTTAATATATTTCTTCAAAAACAAACCAAAATTTTCATTAGGATTTGAGACCCGGGCTTTAAAATGAACAAGAAAGTTCATTATTAAAAGAAAAATATCTCAAACAATATGGAAGTTAGCATTTTATACAATTATCATAATAAAAAGCTCATAAAATCTAAAAAATTATTTGTTTGGCCCTATAAAAAATTTTTCAGAAAAATGATCACGTGCCTGAGTTTCTTAGAAAAATGATCATTTACCGCCAGAATTTTTTTAAAAAATACGCATATTCTAAAGTTTTCTCGATGAAATAAAATAAAATTAAAAAATGTGAAATAATCATCATTTTGATTTTGGGTGGTATTTTTCTAGCTTTAGTGTGATATTTAGAATAATAAACATTCAGTTAGAATTTTGACATTTTTTGTAAGAGGGAGATGTATTGCTTATAGAAATGCAAAAAATTCTAGTTCAATAAGAAAATTTTATTTTAAGAAAAGGTTAACAGCTTAGCTTTATAAATAGATTTAATTATAATGGAAGCACATCAGGAATGTTTTTCCGTTTAAAATCCACATGGAAATCCACATCAAATACTGTGGAAATATGTGGAAATCTAAATAGTTCCAGTATTTTCCGAATACCCTGTGACGAAACACGTGGTATTTTCGGCATAAGTCCACGAAATTCGGTGTGGATCCATGTATGATATTGGAAATGTGTGGAATTCCACGTATTTCTGAGCAAACCCACGTGGAATTACATGGACCGACCCACCTAAAAACTTCCTGATGCATCTGAAATTACTTATTTTTTCACTATTCAATCTGATATAATTAGTAATGTTCTAATCGGGATATTAATGAAGTTATGTCCAAATTAAGAAGCGGTGTTCTCACGGGGACTGTATGTGAGAAATGAGAATATACAATGTATATTATAAAAATATCCATAAAATATAGATAAAATATTCTATAGACATTTATATGCACTATTCATTTTATATGTACTTTTCCTGGACATTCCTTTTTATAGGGTACATTTAACCATTTAATCATTTACCTGCATTTGGTACTTACAGTACCTAACATTATAAAAGTCTCTTGAATGAGCAAGAAAAGGAAAGGACGAAGGAAAGAAAAAGGAAAAGATGAATGAGGGAGACGAGAGAAGGAAAAGAAGAGAAGAAAGGTAATGCCGAAATTTACTTAGAGAAACACTAAAAAAAGTGAAGTTACTAGCAAACAATAGATATTGTTACATGACAAACAAGCAATTATTATAGGAGACAGACTCCGACATTACATAAATTAATATATCGTAATCACTGGGTCAATATTACGAAAAGCGCGAAAGTATTATTTTGATTCTAAGGAAAAATCATTGATTTAATTTATTCTGTTTGAAAAAAATTGGTTATATCTTATATTTAATAAAAATTTATTTAATAACTTTTCTACAAAGACAGTCGCGTCGGAAAGTAGCGCCCGATTTGAAATTGAAGACAATAACAAAATATATATTTTCACTAGTTTATACATTAATAAAAATTTTATATCTAACTTGCTTCTCTGTTTTTAGATCTACTTATATCTACTTTACCTTTCAAAGTATAGAATAAACCCATTGGTTTCATAAAAGTATATCGTTAAATGGCGTATTGAAACTTTCTTTTTTCTTTATGCGTATCATTCACTTTGAATATGATCCGAGACCTTTCCGAGAACCATCCTATTTTTGAAACATATTCTAATAATTATTTATAGGTTAATCGATTTTTTTTGGCGCGTGAAAAAAAAATTAAATAATTTTCGTTTCATCGTTGTTACAATATATATATAAATTATTATGAAAAATGATGAAATTTTATATTTATCCATTATTATTTCTTTAAATTTTTTCAATGGTTTATCCTTAATAATTAATTATTAATAAAATTTATTTGTATCATTAATTTTTTATTAAATGATTTTGCATCACTATCGTCACTTGATATTATTAAACTCACCATCAAATTCAAATCTTTGAAATAACAAACTTTTTATTTATTCTATTTATAATAAAGTATACAATAAATTGAATTCATGTCGTCGGATACTCGCGTGATTGTTAAGTTTGTTTCTCTTTGAAAAAACTTTGAATTAATTTTTCAAATTCTTCCAATTTTTCTGGATTTTCCCGATATTCTTTCATTTTGTCAGGAACTGGTACATTTAACCCTTTTTGAGTTGCTGGTCTTGTATCAATACGTTCGACCCAAGCTTTTAAATTTGGAAATTCATCAATACTTTCTATTCCAGAAAAAAAATGCCCTCTGATCATAGGATAACTCATAGCATCCGCCAATGTAAATTTATTTCCTACTAAATACTCTTTTCCTTCCAATGATTTATTCATAACGTCGTAAAGTCTTTTGATTTCTTTGGCACAATTATTGATGGCGAATGGAATTTTTTCTGGGAGGTATCTACAATAGAAGTTGGATTGTCCTTGCGTAGGCGCAATTCCTGACGCTTCGAACATAACCTAATATTTTGATAAAAGTTTAATTTTTTTTTAGTTAATCATAATTTTTTTGTGCTAATAAAATATTTACCCATTGAATAACTTGACTTCTCAATTTAGGATCATTCTTCGGTAGTAATTTTTCTTCAGGATCATAATTTTCACAAAGATAAATCGCTATTGCGGTACTTTCAAATACAGAAAAATCTTCTTTACTATGATCAACAATAGTAGGAATTTTCCCATTCGGATTGATTTTTAAATACCAAGGTTCATATTGTTCCCTCTTTCCTAATTCAACTTGTTTTACTTTATAAGGAATTCCCAATTCTTCAAGAACGGCACTAACTTTTACCCCATTTTGAGTTCCATAAGTGTAAAGAGTAATATCAGGAGTAGTCATTTTTTTTTTTTTTTTTTGTGAGTGGGAAGAAAAAAATTTTTTTTTGATTCTTTTTTTATAATCTAGATCATCATGATTACGTAATATGATTACGTAATGATGATTTTGCTTTTTTTGTAAAACAACGAAATTGCGTAAATCTTTTAATTTATCTATTAAAGGTTTAATTCCCTTTGTCACAATCATATAATGAGAATATATAAATGGATAATGATTCAACAATCATATAATGGGTAATGACAATTCTAAGTTTTCCATCCTGTTTGAATATTCATAATGGATAATGAAAATCCTTTACAATTTACCTAAAGAAATTCTAAAAGTACTACTCTTCGATATTTCCCATTTTGGCTAAAACCCAGTACTTGGACTAGTTAGCGTTATTGTCCGGAGCGAAGGACGAAAAAAAAATCGATCATGTGAATTTCTCTATCCGCCACGTGATCGTCACCCAATGAAATCTCAAATTTTCGTTCCCGTTTCCTATTGTAGGGTACAAATCAAAAGTTAATGTACTGTACTGTGAGCACGGTAATATTTTATTATGGTTTGCTACTAAGCGCTAAAGTATTATTTTTTATTCTAAGGAAAAATCATTGATTTAATTTATTCTGTTTGATAAATTTCTCCATGGTAATAACCCAAAAATTTATAAATGAAAAATATCTCATATTTAATAAAAATTTATTTAGTAACATTTCAACAAAGACATATTATTCATTCGAGATAATGTCCAGTCGCGTCGGAAAGTAGCGCCCGATTTGAAATTTAAGACAATGACAAAATATATGTTTTCACTAGTTTATACACTAATAAAAAATTTATATCTAACTTTCTTTTCTGTTTCTAGATCTACTTATATCCACTTTACCTTTCAAAGTATAGAATAAACCCTATTGGTTTCATAAAAGTATATCGTTAAATGGAGTATTGAAACTTTCTTTTTTCTTTATGCGTATCATTCACTTTGAATATGATCCGAGACCTTTCCGAGAACCATCCTGTTTTTGAAACATATTCTAATAATTATTTATAGGTTAATTGATTTTTTTATTGGCGCGTGAAAAAAAAAAAAAATAATTTTCGTTTCATCATTGTTACAATTAGGGGTGCAGACTTTTTCTTTTTTTAGCTACGTCGCTCATTAAGTCAACGAAAGGTTGTAACTCGTGGCGTAGCTCGATATTATATAAATTATTATAAAATTTCTCTGTGTGCATCTGCAAACGTAACTTTGTTACGGCAGTTACGTCGGTAAAGTTTACTTACAATATATTTTTTAATATAAATAAATATTACGGAAAATGATGAAATTTTATCCCAATGTTTATCCTTATAAGGAAATTTTAATTAATTATTTAATAAAATTTATTTGTATCATTTAATTTTTATAAAATGATTTTGCATCACTATCGTCACTTGATATTGTTTAATATTATTAAACTCAATAACAAATTCAAATCTTTGAAATAACTAACTTTATTTTATTTATGATAAAGTATACAGTAAATTGAATTCATGTCGTCGTGATTGTTATCACATGTTAAGTCGCTTTTTGATAAGACTTTGAATTGTTTGTACAAATTCTTCCAATTTTTCTGGATTTTCCCGATATTCTTTCATTTGGTCAGGAACTGGTACATTTAACCCTTTTTGAGTTGCTGGTCTTGTATCAATACGCTCGACCCAAGCTTTTAAATTTGGAAATTCATCAATACTTTCTACCCCAGAAAAAAAATGCCCTCTGATCATAGGATAACTAATAGCATCCGCCAATGTAAACTTATTTCCTACTAAATACTCTTTTCCTTCCAATGATTTATTCAAAACGCCGTAAAGTCTTTTGATTTCATTGGCACAATTATTAATGGCGAATGGAATTTTTTCTGGGAAGTACCTGCAATAGAAGTTGGATTGTCCTTGCGTAGGCGCAATTCCTGAAGCTTCGAACATAACCTAGTATATTGATAGAAGTTTTAATTTTTTTTTTTTAGTTAATCAAATTTTTTTGTGCGAATAAAATATTTACCCATTGAATAACTTGACTTCTCAATTTAGGATCATTCTTCGGTAGTAATTTTTCTTCAGGATCATAATTTTCACAAAGATAAATCGCAATTGCGGTACTTTCAAATACAGGAAAATCTTCTTTACCATGATCAACGATAGCAGGAATTTTCCCATTCGGATTGATTTTTAAAAACCAAGGTTCATATTGTTCCTTCTTTAACAATTCAACTTGTTTTACTTTATAAGGAATTCCCAATTCTTCAAGAACGACACTAGCTTTTACCCCATTTTGAGTTCCGGAAGTGTAAAGAGTAATATCGGGAGTAGTTTTTTTTTTTTTTTTTTGAGTGGGGAAAAAAGAAAATTTTTTGATTCTTTTTATAATTCTAGATCATCATGATTATGTAGTAAACAACGAAAATGCGTAAATCGATTAATTTATCTATTAAAGGTTTAATGATTACTCGACAATCATATAATGAGAATATATAATGGATAATGATTCACAATCATATAATGAATAATGACAATTCTCCTTTTCCCATCCTGTTTGGATATTCATAATAGATAATCCTTAACCCAGTACGATGTAGGGAACAAATCAATGAAGTTAATACTATTTTTTGCTATGAAGCTTACACCATGTGACCCTATAAAAATTTTCTGGGAAAATTCCGATAAATGATCATTTTCTAGTTTTCATTCCAAAAAAACTCCGATATGTGATCAATTTCTAAAAAATTAGATAAATAAACTTGACTAAATATCAACAGCCATTAAATGTATATATATCCTTTTTGGATTTGCCCTTTTCAAAATCTATTATTCGACATTCATTATCCCGACACTTATTATCCTTTTTAAGAAAGAAAATCCCTATAAAAAAAAAAAATTCTGGAAAAAAACTGAAAAAACTCCGATAAATGATCATTTTTATAGTTTTATTCCGAAGAAAGACACGTGACAGTGGTAATTGTCACCATACCAGCATTATGATGGGGCGTCCTTAACGTATAGTGGGAGTTAACGTACAAACTGGCCCGAGTTTAGGAGTTATGCACTTGCACGTGATAGCGTTAACGTTAATTCCGGCCAGTTTGTACGTTAATATCGTACACCCCCACTGTACATTAAGGAACCCCATTATGATGTACTTTTGGCCAGAATTAAAAATCTAATAAAAACACTGACCGGCATTACAACATAAATCAACCACTAGTAACCGTCACCGGACATGGTACACAATAGATCGGTCTAGGCCTTTCTTTATTTGGTAATAAACAATGTAAATCTGTATGGTACGCGCGTGATATTTAAACATATACTACAAGATATACTACATGTTATTGTAACACCCCCACTAAAAGCTTAAAATTTATAGAATTGCTAAATCTTACTATATCAGCACTAGCAAATATTATAGGTAGAATTTTATGGTATTTTTAATTCTACCTAAAATTCTACCTTAGTTCTGATAAGATACCTTAAATAGATTTTTAAAATAAATTTTACAAATTTTTTTAAATTTAATATTTAAATTTTAAAGGATTTATATTTATCACTATATATATCACTTAATATTTCAGTTTACCCCTTCTTTTTTTCTTATTAAATTTAACAACTAATTAAATTATAATATTTATAAATCATATAATTTTATTAAATATAATATAAAATTTTAAATTATTTTTCTCAAAATAAACTACTTATTATCCTATTTTGGAATTTCATGTATGTACAGTCAGGCAGTTATTATAAAGCTATACAGATGCAACTATAATTATTATAATAATTAGGCCACTCCAAGTAAGGTTGCTTGTCTAAACCTCTTCAAAATCCTACAATTAGTTTCGTCAAAATTTTACTATAGATTTATTATAGTTTCGGCAGAGTTTTTGCAGTTTTTGCATTTATAATAAGTTTTTGCAGTTTCGCCTTTCTCCAAAGTTTTGCCAGTTTTTTAATATAACTTTAATATAGTTTTGGCAGAATTTCACTTTTCGGCGAAATGCCATCTTGCCTAAACCCCTAGGTTTCAGCAAGCAACCTTAACTCCAAGCCAATTTTTTGTTTAATATAACATAGGGGATCTTAATCTAGACAAAAAATAATACATAAAATACAATACATGGCCAGAATTACCATTAATTTTGGCCAAAATTTTGGAGCAAAAATTTTGAATGATAATTCTGGCCAAGACTTAAAGATTTATCTAATTCCAGTCTAAATTACATGTATTTTTTTTAATTAAGAAATAAAATCTATTATTAAATCTAAAGTAATTTATTATTGCATTTTATTTAATATATATTAGATGAATGGACAGATATTTTTATATAACTTTTATATAATTTTTTATTATATAGTAAGATCTCTTTATAATTACCAAACTTTATATGATAATTGTATAAAAGTAGAATTCTACTTCAAATTTAAGTATATAAATTCTTAACAGATCTTACTATAAAAGGAAATTTTATGTTATATTATTATGATTCTTTTTCTTTTAGCTAATTAATCAATAGAATTTAAAAAAATGTAAGATAAAAATTATTAATAAAGGGCTAATTTATTTTCTACAGTAACCTTTATTATAAGTAAATAGGATTCTATAAAGATATAACTGTAATTAACAAACTTTTATATAATCATTACTAATAAGTATGCAATAATTATATAAAAAATTTTACAATTTGTATTTATAATAATATAACATAATAATTAATAATAATAATTATTTTTTAAATAGTAAGACACTGCAGGCAAATTTGCCTGCAATTTTACTGAAAATTCAGTTTTCATTTAATTTTATAGAAAATAAAGTTATTTTAATAAAATTTTTTTTTGCAAAAAGCTTAAATCTTAATTTACGTGATAATAATTATTATTTATTAATTTATATTATAAGATTAAAAATTAACTATTGGTCAAAAGTTGTATTTTTTAGATAACAAAAAATTTTGAAAAATTTTGCATTTAACTTTGACGATCTCATTAGAATTTGATTATAGCTATATTAAAGCTTAATAAAAATGTAGAATTTGCTATGGAAAACAACTTTTATTATTATAATTTTTAATGTTTGAAACTGGTAATTTGACTTTATATAAAACCTTAAAAAAAGAATTATTTTTGTGAATTTGTAAAAAAATGCATAAAGTTAAATTTTATCATCTCATTAGGATTTGAAATTTCATAATAAAAATAAATAAATATATTAAAATACTTTGTAATGAAGCAAAATATTATGGTAAAGAAAATTAATTTATTATATAAAATTTCTGATGTTATTTTTTCAAGGTTAATTAAGATAGGAATTTGTAAACATAAATTCATAAAATTAAATTTACACAGTTTCAAATTAAATATAAAAATATAATGTACTGTAAAAACTTCTGTTATAATATACTTTGTTATATATAATAAATCCATTTTATTAGTTGTATCTAATTTTAGTGATTAATCACATATTGAACTATATAATTAATGCTAAAAATATAGATCAATATAACTGTAGAATTATAGAATAATTCAAATCATATTGACAAAATTTGTATTTAGATATAATTTATTTTAAAAAATTACAGGCAAATTTGACATTACTGTTTAAAGAATACATTTTATTATTATTTATTAATTATTATAAAATAATATACTGTAATTATAATAATAAATTTTAATTGAAAATTTTAATTTTTAAATTTGCTTTTTATAGCTTATTAAAAATATTTGCTGGTTAAAGTAAAGTATTTTAGAGATTTATATTTATAAATACGTAATTTAATTATCATAAATAAAATATTAATTTCTAATAATAAAAAATTTGCTTTTTATTAGCTTATATATTAAATTTATAAAATAATTTTATCTAAAATATATTAAGTTATGATAATAATACTACTTTACAGAAACTTTAAGTTTTTAAGCGATATCATTTTGATATCATTTTGATATTGATTCAATATCAATTTAATATCGATGCGATATTAAAATAAAATATTATTACTTTAATATCAAAATGATATCAAAATGATAATAGAAATAACATTAAAATAAGTATAAATAAATTACATCTAAAAAAGGAAATATTACACTAAATTATTATGATTTTTTTTCTTTTTAAATTAATTAACCAATAGGATCGCTAGTAAAATTACTAGTAAATTTGAAATTTTTCCTAAAAATCTCTATTAAAAATAAGCAGGATTCTCTCTTTATTAATAATTTCTACTTTACCTTTTTTTAAATTTTATTGGTTAATTAATTAAAAAGAAAAAAAATTATAATATTATAATATAAAATTTTCTTTTATAATAGAATTTGCAAAAATTTTATATATAATTTTATTTTAAGTTTAAAGATAACCTATCTTATAAGTAAACAGAGTCCTTTAGTACTTCTTTCTTCAAATCACAAAAATCATTCAAAGTATTTGTTAAAGTAACAGCAAAATAGTTATTAAATAATATTTGATTAGTATCTGCTATTTTATTACTATTTAAGATATTTTATTTAATTTGTATTATGTTAGCTATATTATTTTCAGTTATAAAGGCAATATTCCAATTTTAACTTAATAATTAAAGATTGTATTATTACTTACATTTTCTTATATATCTATTATATAATTAATAATTCTTTTAATATTTACCTTTTCCTTATTTATATCTTTTTCTTTTCCTAAAATTTTAAAATATATCAACAATAGTTTTATTATAATAAGCTTTAAAATACTTAATAATTTTTACATTAATAAGTAGTTGAGAATAACTTGTAATATTGGATAATTGAAAAGTTACTTTATTATAAATTAGATTAAATCAAGTAATATTACTATTACTAGTTATTAGCTTATTAACAATTAAAAGAGAATACTGAATAATACTAATATAACTTACAAATAAACTTTAAATACTGAAGTAAAAATACATTTTATAACATAACTCTATTAATATTGAAACTAAAAATGCAATTTTACTATTATTAGAATTTTCTTATAGAGATGAATCCAATGATATAAATTTTATTAAAATCAAATTACTGATTGTATTAAAACAGAAGTATATAAGATAACAAAATTTTGAAAATACCCCTGTAATATGCAACTTTTGAAAAATTTTAATATACAAATTTAAATGTGAGTTGTATTAGTATTATTTGAGATCCTATTAAAAGACTAAAAACTTTAATACTTTAATAAATCAATTAGTAAAGTTTAACTAATTAGAAGAATTTTATAATAATTTCAATTAATTTATATGAAAATATATTAAATGTTTAAAATATTTTATTAATAAAATATTATAATCTATATTGCAATATTTAATGCTATACCATATACCTGTCTCTTATACACATCTAGATGTGTATAAGAGACAGATTTAATGCTATACCATATACTGTACTTTATATATATTTTATTTTCTTAATTTTTTAATTTTTTTTTTATTTTGCAATATTTATAATATAAAAAAAAAAAAAGTATTAAGTAAATTTTTTTTGATTATTTTCAGAAATGCTGAATAATTTTAATTAGAGTGATTTCTTTAATTTAAGCTATAA